ATAAAGATAATATTTTATATTTTTCCTAGAAATAATATTTTACTGTTCACCTTTAGGCCTTTAAACCAACTTAAGCTTGCTGTGGTGTGCAATAGTAAATGCATGTGTAATTATTCCAATGCATATTTATTGAATAGTTAACCTTTCACTCCTGGTTTGTTATGCCATCTCCAGTTTGAAGTTTTGATATTTAGTGGAAAAAAACAGGCTAACTTATTATTCTTTTTCAAAATTGACTTGACTATTATGGTTGTTATCTGAACAATAGTTATTACCTCTTTCTTCTTCCTAACTGAACCTCATTGTCTTCAGATATCCCTGGATTCTATCCCTTAGTGTGTACTTGAAGCCCATCATGAGGGCAATTCTCTTCTATCAGAATTGCTTTGGGCTTGGGATGTGCTACATCTCCTGCCAGTGAGAACTAAGTATACGGAATTGTGCTACACTGAGGATGGAAAGGCATGGGAACATTTTTCCTCTTAAAAAGGTATAAAAGAAAAAAGAGTTACCATTCCTTTCTTTGAATAAAAGTTGGAGGAAGATGTGATGCCTGATACTATGGCAGCCATCTTGCCACCCTGGGGGCACAAGCCACACACCCACACACTGAGAATGGCTTAACAAAAAGATGAAAAGATCACAGGTCCCGACAATGGCATTGTGTGGCTGAATTAACCCAAACTGGAATCTCCTGTGATCTGAATTAACAAACCTCTTATTGCTTAACCACTTTATGTTGTATATTCTGTTATGTCCAGCAAATGCATCCTCAACTACAATAAGATTTTTGACCCCTTACTTCCCACTTGAATTTTGTAATCATGGTTCCATGCTCCCAATCAGGGCAGGAATTTAAAAACCGAGTTTGCCTTAAAAGTAAATGTTAACTTTGGGAGAACTGACATCTCACAATAATGAATGTTCCAATTCACGGATATGGTATGTGTCTCCACTTATTCAAATCTTCTTTAGTGCTTTCTATAAAAATATTTTATATATAAAATCTACATTTTATTTATACATAAAAATCTATATGATTTTAAATATTTATACCTAGCCACAATGCTATTTCTATTAAGCCTTGTAGCTTTTGTTTGCTATTAAGTATTATACATTTTGGCATAGTGGTGCATACCTGTAATCCCAGCTATCGGGGAGACTAAGGCAGGAGAATTGCAAATTTGAAGGCAACTTAGTGAGACCCTGCCTCAAAATTTAAAAAAAAGGTGGTGGGGGGGAGTTACTGTGGATATAGATCAGTGGTAGAGCATCTCTAGTTTCAATCCCAAACACGACAATAACAACGTGTGTGTGTGTGTGTGTGTGTGTGTGTGTGAGAGAGAGAGAGAGAGAGAGAGAGAGACTGAATTTTGTAATTGATCTTATACCCATCAACCTTGCCAAATTGTCTTTTAATTCTAAAGAGACAATTCTTCTTTTCCACTCCTGTGGAGCCTGTTTGAGTTTCTTCATAGACAATTATATTATACAATAAGAAGAGTTTCTTTTCCTGCTCAATCTTGCAGTAAAGGAATAGAGGCCATCAGGGAGGCCTGTGGTTGCTTGGTCCAGTTGCCTGTCACGTGCACTTTCTCCTGGCCTCATTATTCCCTGGTGGGAGGCCCATCACCAGGCAGCAGGCAGCTATTCCAGCCTCCTTACGGGTGGTCTGTGTGTATGGGGTGGGGGCTCAGTGTGGCCTGTGGTTTCGGGCACTGGACGTGGCTTACCACCTACCCTTCTCACCCTGGGCAGTCACTTCTAATCTCCCTGGCCCCTCAGAAGCCCATGCTGGCATCCTGGGCCACCTTTCAGATTTGGGACCCAGTAACCCCATCTCCTGCTCCATTCACGGCTTTGAGTTTCTAATCCATGGAAAAGTTTATACATTGGGCCAACTGTGCCTTTTAATTTTTCCTGTCATATTTTAATCACTGTTGCTTTGAACGTGACCAGCATTCCCTGTTGAAATTTAATCCCCGTTTTGAGGTATCTGGAGGGTGAAAAATCTGACTGTTGTTTAGAGGTGGGGATTTGGGAGGTGGTCAGGATTGGATAAGGTCATCAGGGTGGATCCCTCATTTGAATATTGGTGACTTTATAAGAAGAGGGACAGAGACCAGAGGACATGTACACACCACACACACACACATGCATGCATGCGCGTACTCTTTGTCTCTTGCCACATAATGTCCTGTGCCACTTTAGGACTCTGCTAGCAAAAAGATTATCACCACGTGCAGGCTCTTGAACCTCTAGAACTGTGAACTACATAAACCTCTTTTCTTAATGAGGTTACCCAGCCTCTGGGATCTTGTTAGGGTAATGTAAAACAGACCAATACGATAACCATTGCTTTGTGTGTAGAGATGAGCATGAACATCAAAGGCTTAGGTACAAAAATCCTACCTTGACTAGAAATCATGATTCCAACATGTATTTTTTAAAGGGGCACAGAACTAGCTCCTGCCAACTGCTGATACTTAACACAGTAGTTATCATCAAATACAATACTATTTTCAATACATTTAAAAAATATATTTTTATTTTTTAATTGTAGTTGGACACATACCTTTTATTTATTTACTTATTTATTTTTATGTGGTGCTGAGGATTGAACCCAGGGCCTCGCAAGAGCTAGGTGAGCGCTCTACCACTGAACCACAACTCCAGTCCTTTCAATACATTTTTAATCATCAAATAAAATACAGAATTTTCACAACTTCCTTATGCTTTGTAAACACTATAGTTGTATTTCTGTTTATCATCTGGCTAACCGGGAATGGAAATAAACACTATTTTCTGTACCTGAGAAAACCAATGTCTCTTACTTAGTCGTAATCAGGAATAAGCAGAGAGAGCCATAATTCTGTGAGTTCCTCCAGAGATGGAGCTGGGTGTTGTTGATCCTGTGCCTCATCCAAAATAACCCCAGGGAAAGATTTTGAGCTGAGTAAACCAAACTCCAAAGCCATGCCTGGCTTTCCATTGTCTGAGGGACCCCTAATGAATGCCCTCAGGATCTAACAGTGCCATGACTTGAGGGAAAGAAAGGGGAAGAAAGACAGGAATAAGAGTTGGTTTTAAGCAAGGTGAGTGGGAAGGAATTGTCAATGGCATTTCGTCTAGAGTGGATTTTGATTGAGATTTGGATTTTTTTTAATACTTATCTCCTTATATAAACTAGCTTACTATGTAAATATAATCAAAATAACATTCATTAAAATTGCAAAACTTATTTATTAAAATATGTAAAGCAGCCAGCTGCAATACTGGAGACTAAGAAGTGTAAAAATATTTTGTTGAACAAATATTTTTGAGTTCCTACTATGTGCTCACACTGTACGGGAGGTGGGCATACCAGGATAAATAACAGGTCCCTGTGCAGCTAAAACTTCAGTTGGGCCAAAGGATGGGTAAACAAATATGATGGAATAAGCTTCTTTAAAGAGTGTTGTGTTTATTGTAGTTTGGATGCAAGGTGTCCCTCAAAAGATCATGTGTGGGACAATACCAAAAGGTTTAGAGGAGAAATGATTTTAACCCAATCGGTGAATTGATCCCTGATGGGATTAACTGAGTGGTAACTGGAGGCAGGTGGCTGGAGGAAGTGGTTCATTGGGAACATGGCTATGGGATATATATTTTGTATCCGGTGAGTGGAGTCTCTCTCTGCTTTCTGATCATCACGTGAGCTGCTTCCCTCTGCCACACCCTTCCGCCATGATGTTCAGCCTCACCCTGAGCCCTGAGGAATGGAGCCAGCTGTCTATGAACTGAGGCCTCTGAAACCGTGAGCCCCCAAATAAACTTTCCCTCCTCTACGATTGTTCTGGTGGGGTCTTTTAGTCACAGCAGCAAAAAAAAGCTGACTAAGACAGTTCTCATAGCAGCCTCATTTACAATAGCCAAGAGGTGGAAGCAACTCAAGTATCCACGGTCAGGAATGGACAGGCCAAGTCTATTACACATAGGATGTAATACTGCTCAGCTTTGAAAGAAAGAGAAATTCTTGATACAGGCTACAACGTGGACGAACCTTGAGGATATGATGCTGAGTGAAATAAGCCAGTTACAGAAAGACAAACAACTGGCTGCCTCCACTTCTATGAGGGAGCTCAAGTAATTAAATCCATAGAAACAGAAAGTAGAGATCTGGGGGTGGAAAGGGAAATGGGAGCGGTTTACTGTGTTGGATGCATGTTCAGTTTCAATTTTACAAGATGTGAGATTTCTGGAGATGTCACAACCATGGGAATTATTCTTAACACTTTTGAACTGTACGCTTAAAAATGGTTAACAAGGTACATTTTGTGTGTTTTACCACAACTTTATTAAGTAAAAAAAAAAAAGAAGAAGAAAGAAAGAAAGAAAATGATCATTAGTTTCCTGAGGGTTCACTCCTAGCTTCTAGCAGAAGGCCTGATACATGGTAGGCACTTGACTAATATTTTGCCTTCCTTTGGTGTCTCTCCCTGCCCAGTGTCCTCCACAGCAGGACAAAGGCCACGTAGTTCTGTAGTTCTAGGAGCCAGTTCAGCAAACAAAGGCACTTCTCTCCTCAGGGCACAAAGGGGAAGAATTTCAAATATTTGTGATTTAATATTTGTCTCGATCACACCAACTAGGCTTTGCTTCTCAATTATGCTTATCTGAGCTCTTTGGCATTTAAATTTCCTAAAGATAGATCCTGTTCCTACTTCCCAAAACAGAATAGAATTGTGATGGCCTTTGTAAGAAAAAGGAAAAAGAAAAAAAAAGTGGAAGGAAATCTGTAAAATGAAATCATTATGAGGCCAACGTACAAATGGCTTGTGGGCTCTGGTTGCAGCCCAGCGCAGGAGGAAGGGTGAGGTAATTAGCATGCATTTCACAGTTCTGCAGTTTGTCAGTTGGTTCCTTCCCTTCACGGGCTCTGTCTGAGTCTCTTGGTTTTTATTTTTTATTTTTTCACTTGGCCAAAAATAGAGAGACAAAAAAAGTTTTCTTGTACTTACTTAGGCTTTTCTACTTTTTTTCCTGGTATGTTTGGTTTCCTCTCGCCATGATCCTTCCTTCTTCCTGCCACCTGCCGGCTTCTCTGCTCCTCCTCCCCTTCTCTGACGTCTTCTGTGGGATGCACACTGTTGAGCCACCACGGCCAGCAGACATCCCAGGAGCCCCATGGGAGGTTCTCGGAGCGCTATTCCTTAGGTTCTGGAACCCTGGCTTGGTGCAGGGTATCCATGGGGGACAGCTGTGTGCAGCGTTTGGCGATATACAGGCAGGGAGATGGCGAGGGTCTGAGGGACTTGGATGGAGGGATTCCCATTTTCTGGTCCACACACTGGACACAGCTTCTCCTTCTGGCTGGGCCTTGGTCTGGGTGTGCACATTGTTAGAAATCAGAATGAAGCCAAGGTGCCTTACCTTTTGCTGCAGGAGAAAGTTGTCCGGATGCCTTTCTTCTGCCTTCTCATGCTGGAATGATGGGAGGGTACGCACAGAGCCCACCAAAGACTTTGTCAATTAAGAAACAACCAGTGTCCAGGCGTGGAGATTTGATTATATGACTTTTTAAACATTCCACTTACGTATCTCTCATTATGTGACAGACACTGTTTTAAATATTAACTCAATCCTTTAAATATTAACTTATTTAATCCTTACAACCACTCTGTGACTTGGGATCTACTATTGTCTGAATTTTTATGGATGAAGAAACTCAGGCCCAGAAAGATTAAATGATTTGCTCATGATCACAGAGCTAATCTCTCACAGCCTGGCTCCTGCATCCACTCTTTTAACCTACTACTCTTTGCTACTGGTTTATGTACAGTTCCCCAGCATTCCCTTGGAGATTCCATGCCTGATTTTACAAAATCTCTCTCCCCAGGTATAACACTTTCTGCTGGGTGTTGGGCAATGTGCACATCCCTCTGAAATGTCCACGTGGCTCCTCGGATGTCCGCTGGCTGTCACAGGTTCACAGGCATCTGTTCTGTAGGAGACCTCAGTATCTGACTTTCTTTCTCTTCCAGAATCAGGGCATAAGGAAGCAATTTCTACCCATACAGACTTTAAGACATAAAATTGCAGCACATCACAAACTCTTCATCCTTGTATGAAGTGCCCTGCCTCCACACAAACAAGGATACGATCTTGGGATCTGTCACCAATCAGGGTGAGTTTGCAAGGAGTCTTCCAGGCCCTTGGGAACAGGGTCATGAATTTTTTAGATGGTTGGCTGGAGTGGCTCAGAGCTGGAGGACAGACCTTCCGGTGAGTGTAGCAAACTGGTCTGGAGAGAAGCCCGTGACCTTGGCCTCCTTGCCCTGGGATTCCAGGTGGGGACCTGAACATCCCAGGGTGCTTCCCTAGTCCTCTGACCTTCCTTAGGTCCCTCCTGTGTGCTGGTTTCCCTGGTGAGAACTGGGCGAGCCGAGAAGGATTTACAGAAAGGCAGGGTGACTTGTCTTTCTGCTGTGAACCTCTGACTTGTGTTTGGGCCTCACTGTTATACACAGAGATATGTCTCCAGCTCTTCCATGCCTCCTGCCAGCTTCCTGCTGGTAGTTCCCAAGGCCTTCTCCGCCCCCAGAATGCTTTTCCTAGATCCTCTTCCCACAGGGCCCCAAAGCTAAGCTGCCTGGAAGTAGTGGGAAGTGAATTCCTGCTAAAACATCTGAATTCTCTGCACATTGCATTTTTATCTTCCTGGGGACATCAAAACTGAAAAGTTTAAGAGTAGGAGTGGAATGTCAGGTTCCCTGCCGTGAGAGGGATTTCGGGGTCTGCTGTCTTAGTACATAATATCAGAGACCAGGTAGTTTATGATCACGATTTTTAGAGGCTGGAAGTCCAAGATCAAGGCACTGGCAGATCTGGTGTCTGATGAGGGCCTCTTTCTGGTTCATAGAGAGCCATCTTCTCACTGTGTCCTCACATGGTCAAAGGACAAAAGCAGCATTCTGGGTTTTTGCTGTTGGTGGTAGATTTTTTTTTTTTTTTTGGTACTGGGGATTGAACCTAGCAGTGCTTTTATCACTGAACCACATTCCCAGAACATTTAATTTTTTATTTTGAGACAGGGTCTCACTAAGTTGCTGAAGTTGGCCTCAAACTTGTGCTCTTCCTGTCTCAGCCTCTTGAGTCACTAGGATTACAGGCATGAGTCACCACACCCAGCTTCTGGGGCTTCTTTCATAAAGATACTAATCCTATTCATGAGGACTCTGGCCTCATGACCTAATCACTTCCCCAGATCCTACTCCTAATGTTATCACTTTAGTAATTAAGTTTTCAACATACAAATCTGGGGGGAACGCATTCTGTCTATAGCAGCTGTTGTCCAGTAGACCTTCCTATGTGTGGACATGCATCTGAAATTGGCCCTGGTGTCAGGGCCAGGCCCACAGGTGTCCTCAAGTCCAGAATTAAAACCTTTACTTTAGAGCCACAGTGCTCCCCCTGTCCCCTGCCCCCACCACCAGTTTGTAGGACTCATTAAATCTAGGACCCAGATCCCGGTAGGCGTGGGGTTCAGTTTAGGCAACTGGAGTAGAGGCCTTTGTCCAGTGGGGTATTTCCTCTGACGTCACTGGGCTGATCGTCAAGGCTCCAAGGTGGGTCTCTGCCAGGAAAACCTGAACTGAAGAGGAGGAGATTTGGCCTTCGGGGAAGAGGGCCTGTGTCCTGGCAGGCCGGACGTGCCTGCCCCGGGCTGGCTTCTTTTTGCTGCTGATTCTCTGGGTTAGTGCACTTTTGACCCAAGAGGAGGGAAAAAAGGGAACAAACAGTGGAACTGTGACTGTCAGATGTTGCGGGAGGGACTTTTGAACCGGTGGGATGGTGACGGCCATCAGAGGCTGCCGTCTTCCCTGGCCCGTCCCCCTTCCCACCTCCTGCCCTCACCTCTGTCCTCCCTACTCTACTTCTGAACGCCAGCTGCCTGGGCGACACCTTTTGCTTCCCAAGCCTCCTTTGTTGTTTTTCCTTGATCCCTTTCTCAAAAATATTCTCCTCTCTTTCCATCCGCTCAGTGCCAGACTCCTGGCATCTGACTTGCCGGCTTGCGCAGGCTGCCATCTCTCTCTCTGGCTCACCACGGTTTTATAATTGCCTCTGGTTAAAGTTTAAATAGATGGGTTTCAGCCCAAGAGAAAAATGTAAACAAGCCCTCTCTGCAGTCTTTCAGAACTGCTGGCCTCCAGTGCTTCTGGATTCTGTGCTAGGGGATTCGTCCTGCTCCTCCCTAACCCCGGGAGCTGAGACAGGCCGCTGGCCTTTCAGAGCCACGAAGGCCTCTCTGAAGCCATCAAGCTATTGAGAGACTTTTAGATGGCCTGGCACTGTTCCTTTTAACTCAATCAAGCCAGCAGGATCCGGTTCCCATTCTAGCCAGGGTATCTGGTGTGATCAGGTGAAACAGGGTAGCAGTCCTCATGGGCCGGCTTCTAGATAGGAAGGAAGTGACAGGGATTGTCATTTCCCTGCTGGAATTTTTTTCTCTGGGGGAGGATGGGGTTGGATTTGCTGCCCTGGGGTTTTGGCGGTTGAGATGGTCTCAGGAGTCATTAGAATGGGGCCATGTGGAGCCATCACAGCAGGGAGAGGTAGGCCAGGGTTGAGCTCCTGTGTTCAGGCACAGATCCCCTTCTTTGCTGTGATTTCTCAGAAGTAAGCAGGCCTTCTTTGTCTTTTTAATTTTATTTTAATTGTTGGGAGTTTTTATTTGTTTGAGTCTTGATTAAGAATATTGATTTTCTGGGGCTGGGGTTGTGGCTCAGTGGTAGAGCACTTGCCTTGCATGTGTGACGCACTGGGTTTGATTCTCAGCACCGCATATAAATAAATGAATAAAATAAAGATCCGTCAACAACTAAACAAAAAAAAAAGAATATTGATTTTCTATCTTTTTCTGCTTTGTGTACTTTGTGTACTTATGATCTGGTGTCAGATGGATTCAGCAATAACTTGGAATGTTTTAGTCACGAATTTGATTGAATGATTACCTTCCCCTACTCAAAAACCTTCAGTGTGTCCCTGTCTTCAGTTCAGGGTCTTAGGCCTGGTTCTGTCTTCACCTTGCACCATGCCAGTCCTGATGAACTCAGGTGACCTCTTCCTCCCTACTCCTGTGACCCATTCCCTCACTCTGCAGTGTCCTAACCCTCTGCCCCACCCCTGCCCTGCTTAGCATCTGCTCAGAAACATCTTCCTGTGTTCTGTGGGGTCCCCTACCCTCCCTCAACAACCAAGGCCAAGCATCCTCCCTTTAGTTCTCCAACAGCCACGCCCACCCCCTTTCCTGTAACCCTATTTCGTTGTCTGATTTTCAGCCTGTTCCATCAGCCTTGCACTTGATACTTAGCTCTTTGGTTGTAGGATGATTTTGTTTTTCTATCCCCATAGTCATGTGTGACCCACTGGTCAGTGCTCAATAACTATTTAATCTTTGTTTTTCAGCCTCTCTGAAAAGATGTCAAAATTTTTAAAACAGAGGAACCAAAAGGAGTGAAGGAAGGATTGGGGAGTCATTAGATTTGGGTTCAAACCGAAGTTCTGCTGAGGTTAGTACTAGGACTGCTTCCCGGTCACCACCCTTTCCCACCTTCACTTTCTTTGCAGGTAAAACGAACACAATAAGCTGATTTCTATGGGTTTTTGTGCAAATTAAAACGACATCTTTCAAGTAAAGAACCTAACACAGTTCCATCTCGTCCTTATCCTCTCCTGATTTCAAAACAATTTGAATCTTATCAACCAATTTAAAAGACAGGTGCCACGTTCTCCCATTACTCACACAGCCCTCCTTGATGGAAGCATTTCTTCTCATTCACACTTGCAAGTTTGTGAAAGGCTATTTTTTGGGGGGTGTCATTGGACTTATTTATTGTTCATTAGAAGTTCTCTCAATGAGGCTGGGGTTGTGGTTCAGTGGTAGAGTGCTTGCCTAGCATGCATGAGGCACTGGGTTCAATCCCTGGTATCGCATAAAAATAACCAAATTAAAAAAGGCATTGTGTCCATCTACAACTAAAAAAAATATATATTTAAAAAAAAGAAGAAAATGGGCTGGGGTTGTGGCTCAGTGGTAGAGCGCTTGCCTTGCACGTGTGAGGCCCTGGGTTTGATCCTCAGCACCACATAAAAAATAAATAAATAAAAATAAAGATACTGTGTTCATCTACAACTAAAAAAAATTTAAAGAAAAAGAAGGAGGAGGAGGAGGAGGAGGAGGAGGAGGAGGAGGAGGAGGAGAAGAAGAAGAAGAAGAAGAAGAAGAAGAAGAAGAAGAAGAAGAAGAAGAAGAAGAAGAAGAAGCTGTTCTCTCAGTGGTAGGGGTGAAGGTGAGGCAGCTGGTGTTCTCTACTGAGTTAATGTCACATGTCATCCATGGCGTAATGTCACCTCTTCACTGCCAATCTTAACTGGAAAGAGAGGAAGATATGCCAGGGAGGACCCCTTTTCTTTCCCCCTCCATCAAAAGTCGGTAGCCATCTCCCCCATGGAAGGAGAGTGTGGATGCCCACCAGGTGCCAGGTGCTAAAATGAAAGATGAATCAGCCAAGGCCCCAGCATTTTGAAGTTTTCAGTCCAACGTGCTTGCTGCAGGTTGACATGGGGCAACTCATCTAATTAAACCAGGATTATAGGGGTGCAGAGGAGGAGATAGCACTGCAGGAAAATCTTGAGAGAGAGGATGACCTGGACTGAATCTTGAAATATCAGTACACGAATGTGCCCAGTCAGGACGAAGCCTTTCACTCAGAGGAGCCCAATCCTTGATCCTTCCCCTCTGATCCCTACGTGCAGCCTCCAGCACTGGGCTCTGCCATCTTTGACTTCAGCTGTGCAGCCAGCTTCTCCTTGCTCCAAGGGCCATGATAGCTTCCTTAGAAGCAGCATTTTTAGTGTCAGAGAAGTGACACTGGGAGCCCGCTGCTGCTTTTGTTGCCAGGGCTAGAGAACAGCTGGAGTGGTTTGCGCTCCCTGGGGGAGGCTGGACAAGCCAGGCTGTGTGCGTGTGTGACTTGTGCGTGGTGTTTGTGTGAGTTGAGAGCGCGTGGGTGTGTGTCCTTGTGGATGGGCGGCTAGATGTTTACGTGTAGGTGTTGCCACCGAAAACAGAAGTGGAGATTCTGAAAACAAAGTGGCAGCTCAGGACCTCACGGGCAGGAAAGGGGGAGGTTGAAACAGCCCCGACCAAAACAAAAACAGAGGAGGAAGTTGCATCAGAAGAGGAAGAATGCCAATGTCATGCTGAAGAGCCACAAATGTCACAAAATAAAAATAAAATGTGCTATTCCTATTTTACCTAGGCAAATACTGTTACACTGTTTTCCTCTTTACAGTGTAATAAGATTACCGAAATAATATTTTGTGCAGCAAAAGTGAAGAACAACCAGAGAGAGCCACCCACAAACAAAAATTGCTCTATTTTTTAAAAAAATTACATACATCATATTTTATTTATTTGGTTCAGTGATTGATTATAACTTTGCTCTCTACCTGCATTTAAAGTTTCTTTTTCCTCCAGCACTTAAAAATATTAAAAACCAGTTATGAAACTGAATTATTGAAGAACATTTCAAAGGTCTCCTTACTATTAGCACAAACTGAGAAATTCTAATAAAGGTGTTCGAATAATAGCGAAGTGACTGAAGATATCAAAGCAAGAAATAGAGATCCCAGGGATGTTATTTACTTTTTTTCGTTTCAGTTAAAGTAGAAATGCTAGTCCCTTTACTGAAAAAATTAGAAGGATAGTTTTCCTTTTGATTAGGTTCTCATAACTACACACATTTTAAAAAAAATATAGGACTGGTTTTAGATGTAGGGGTTCTATTTTTTTTTTAATTTTTTTAGTTGTAGTTGGACACAATATCTTTGTTTTATTTATTTATTTTTATGTGGTGCTGAGGATTGAACCCAGGGCCTCGCACATACTAGGTGAATACTCTACCGCTGAGCCCCAGCCCCAGCCCCAAGATGTGAGGGTTTTATAAAAAGGTGATGTAATTCTGGGATGAACTTTGCATCTGGGGCTCAGCTAAGCCTTTTGAATCTATTTCTTTATAATTATAGTCAAGGTTATTGGCTTTCTATCACTTTTCTAGAATTGTAATGGCATCAAATGATTAACTGAGCTGCCAATTTTGCCAATAGTTAAATGTATATTGAATTTTTGGCAGTGGACTGGGCAAATTTCATGTGCTCTGGCTAAAGTAATTCTCAACTGAATAAAGTTTTACCACATATACTAGTTGACTAGCAAATGAAGAAAGAAGCTTAGGGTGAGGGATCAATCAGACAAAGACAAGCAGCCAGAAATGGGGAAATGGAACAACCAAGTATGCCTTTTGCTCTGTGTATATACAATGGGTGCTCCGTATATAATGTGGAGGGGGGCTGGAGTTGTAGCTCAGTGGTAGAGTGCTTGCCTTGCACACATGAGGCACTGGGTTTGATCCTCAGCACCACATAAAACAAAAAATAAGTAAAATAAAGGTTTTGTGTCCATGTTCAACTAAAAAAATTTTTTAAATAATGTGGAAGGAAGAAATGGATGGAATGTGTGAAGGAATAAGTATAATGAAAGCAGCTTGAATGCCTAATTCAAAATGAGGTTCAGATTTGGCTTCATGATAGGGTTATAGCATATTTTCCCTTTGATTTTCAGAAGTTGTGAGACTCTTTAAAAAAGAAAATATCAATAAAATTAGTTGGGTAAAAAATTAAAATATATTCAAAACTAAGTTTTTAATTTTTAAAGTTTATTTATGTATACAAACTTTATATATATGGTTATATATAAATTTAAAAAATATATATTTATATATATTAATTTATAAATATATATATATTTTCAGTGTTACCTTAGGAACAAAAAATCATTAGGGGACTGAGGATGTAACACTTGCCTAACATGTCCAAGGCCCTGGGCTCAATCCCCAGCATCACACATCACACACGTGTGCACAGACACACACATCCACAAATTGGGAAAAAATAGGTTTATTCATAAAATTATTAAATGTTTAGGGTTATAATCTATTCAAATAATAAAAATCCACTAATTTGAAATGACCTTTTTCTTCTTAAAACTAATTACTACTGGGGCTACAAGCTGCTGTATTTTATAACAAATGTCATTTGGCTTTTGCAACTGAGAGGAAACCAGTAAAAAATTGGAGAAGAAATCATAAACATCATAATAAAAACAAACAGAAGCAGTAAGTTTTATTTTTTATGGATCCACTACCTTCCATATAGCATTTATTTTCAGAAAATACATAGAAATAAACATTTATTTTTAGAAAATAATTCAAAGGAGTGGGCAGGGAAGAGGGAGAGAAATAGACCAAACCCATGGGCTGCAACATTTTTTCAAACAATATTTTTGTTTAAGGAGTCAAAGTTCCCACATTCGCCCGTTTCTCTGCTTTCTGAACTTCCACATCTCTAGGGGCCCTCCACCTGGACATACAGTTGGCTTTCTGGGTCCACAGTCCAGCATCCTTGGATTCAACCAACCATTCCATTTCAACCATTCGAAGTCTTTGATTTAAAAAAAAAATTGCATCTGTCCTGAACATATACACTTTTTTTCTTGTCATTATTTCCCAAACAATATAGTCTAGCACCTATTTATACAGCATTTACATTGCTGAGATATTTTAAGTAATCTAAGGTCGACTTGAAGCATACAGGAAGATTTGCATAGGATATATGCAAATACTATGTCATTTTATATAAGGAACTGGAGCATTCTTAGATTTTGTTATCCCAAGGGGGTCCCGAAACCAATCTCCTATGGGTATGGAGGGAAGACGGTATTTCCTGACTTGGAATTTGCCAAAAATCTAAAACATTGCTCCAGAGGAATTACGCAAACTCCCTGGCCCAGCTTGTGTTCTCTTCTGATGGTGTTCTCAAGGAATGGGCAGGAGGAAAGACAAGGTGTGAACTACGAGATGTTACATTCTGTTTAACGTCGTGGATCTGTAGCTCTTTCTGTCAATGAGTGGCAGGCCATTCTTAAATTCTGCTCTTCTGCACTGAAGGATCTTAGCCTCTCTGCCCCTGGAGAGCCAAGGAACTTTGCTCTTTGCCCAAAATACCTTTCTCACCCGAAGCAGTTTCCCCTCCTCTGAGAAATGCTGTCGTGTCAGGCTGCACTGCCCTTGAACCAGACAACTTTCTCTGCGTGTCTTTATCTGTCTAAATAAAGCTAACCTACATTTGCTGTCTAATTCATTTGGATGCTTGCTGATGCTATTTAAAGCATCCCTCAAGGCCCAGAGGAAAACAAGATGCATTATCTCCAGTTGGGAACCTTTAGGTTTGCTGGTCATTTAAGGAATTCAAGAATCTTAAGAATTCATTCAGTCTGCACTGGTGCTGATGCAAAGGACAAAGGAACTCTGGATTTTTATTCTAGACAGCTTTCTTTGACTCGTGCATGCCTAGGATCATTTCACAGAGAGGTAGTTACGAAGTCAGTCTCTGTGTGTCTGTCTGTCTGCTCCTCAGGCTTCATGAAATCAACTTTCTGAAGATTTATTGCTCATTAGAATATATTTTTCATTCTAGACTCTGATGATCGGTTAGTCCACTGTGTGAGCTTACTTATCTCGGGGAACAAATGTGAAAATTCAAAAGCTGCTGTCACCTTCATAAAGAGCCTTTTGATGAGTTTTTGACTTGTTTCCACCCCTCCCTCTCCAGATACCATATGTCCTTTCATTAGAGAACCCTGACACTTCTACATTCCAGAAAAGAAAAGGAAATTCTACAGGGAACGGAGCAGAACACTGGTGTTGTAAATAGGACTCCACTGTGAATTCATGTACGACTGAGAGTTCAGAGAGGTTTCAGATCTGTTGTTTGTTTTTCCAGATCTGGCATTTCTGTGGGTCTGTTGGCTTGCTGGTACAATGGGGTTGTTTTAACCATTAGTGCCCCGCTGCTACCTTAAGCATAAGCTTATTATCAGCATCCACTTGTTCAGCCAGGATTCTGTGACGTCCATTGCAGTGGGTGAGTCAGAAGCCACAAGCTAACAGGTCTATATTCCTTCCCACTGTCACCTAGGAAACCATCGCATCATCCACAGGAAATGCAGGCCCCGATGGGGGGTGTGCCCGGATCGGGTTATAAAGCTGGCAAAGAGTTTTTTCAAAGGAGGTCAAATAATAACATGCAGAATCTTGGTCTAAGGTGGGAGGTGAACCCAGCCTCTGTGGCATGGATTGAGAGCTGTGGGGCAGAAATAGCAGGAGAAATTAATCAGCGCAAAGCACATAAGATGTCTGCTTTATAAGAAAGTGATCACGGGCAAGAGACATACAGAAATGATTTGATTCCCCCAGGAAGCAGTATTTATTTACCCGATGGCTGAGGGTATTTGGGGAATGTGCGGTTGTACAGTGTGCGAAATGAGATGAAGAAATTGACAACACATCAAACCAGGCTTTTCTGTTGAATGAAATGCATGTCTCTGTTTCATGGTCATTATCCCTTAGCTTAAGAAGGTGCTAGGCAGTACCTTGGAGAAAAGCACACAGCGCCCACTGTTTTGTTCTTGTTTGCTGGTGCTGTGCCTGATTTTTTCTTTCTTTGGCTGCTACAGTCCTTGGTCTGTATATCCCAGTTCACTGCACAATATTCAGATACCTGTGGATAAGCTTAGTGCAGCTGAGAAAAATTACCTGTACCATTTCATGTTGTTCGACAAGCTTGATGTTTCTGGGAAGCTTTACATTCCCATTGCTGCTATGAGTCATTCTACGTCAAAAGATGTGCACCCCCAGGTGTTTTGAGGAGAGAGGAGAGATAGAAAGCTTGATCACAAGCTCAGGGAGATTTAACAGGTGATATGGCCGCCTTAAGAGATTGAGCTGCTTTGACTGAAGGATGGTGTCCAAGAGAGGCAATGGGTTCCAATACCAGCTGGTCAGGTGCCCGACAAGAGTACATCCATCCTGAGTACCCATTGAAGGAAGAGCAATGACAATCCTGAGTGTGTTCAGAGGAGGGCAAAGATGGTGATGACAGTTCTAGAAACTGTAACCTTAGGACAATTAAAGAGCATTAGTCTACTTACCCTGAAGGCCAGAGGATCTGTCATGGAAGAGATGGGAATGGGTATCCTCAAATAGTTGAAGTGCTGTCTCAAAGAGGGTTCAGACTTATTTTGTGTGCCCACAAAGAGTGATCATAAATTGTTACAAGTTAAAGGGTGGTGGAGTTTAGCTCCATATAACTAATTTTCTAATCATTTAAGCTGATCAAAGTGTATTAAACTGACTAATACAACAGTAACATAATTTTGTACCTTTGGAGTTGTTCCAATATTCCTTTATTCATCCAAAAGCATTCATTGAGTACCTGCCATATGCCAGACATGTTAGGTACTAAAGATACAAAGATGACTAACATAGTCACTTCCTCCAAAGGAATCACAGTCCAGTAGAGGTTCTGTGATCATTTAATATGCAGGGATTGTGTTTTAGTACATTTTATGTTACTATAACAAAGTACCCAATGCTGGGTAAAGGAAAGAGGTTTAAATACCCTCACAGTTCTGGAGGTCCCAGAGGATGGTACCAGTCTCTGCTTGCCTCTGGCAATCGCATTACACCCCAACATGGCAGATGGCATCATGGTGGAAGTGTGAATGAGAGAGAGATAGAACACATGGCCAGACAGGAAGCAAGAGACAGAGAGTTGAGACAGTCAAACTTGCTTTATAAAAACCCATTCTCAGAAGAACTAATCCATTCCACGAGACCAGCGTTGTTATTCTGTTTAGTACCCTACGTTCCTCATTTCCTTCTAATAGGTCCAACCTTTTAAAGGTTCTACCACCTCAACAGGAAAATTCACATAATATTCAAAGCACATCAGACAGGATGAGCAGTAATGTAGAATGTTGTGGAAGAGATTCACGCTTTCATGCCTTGCACAGAAGATTAGATGAAGGCACTTTGAGATTGCTGTCTGTGTTAATGAAGGCAATACTAGCTGCTATAACAACCCCACAATGTCTTCTGGCTCATGAAACATGATAGGAAGCTTTTTTTTCCTCACCATATACACCCAAAATGGTTATTTCTGATGGTGGGTGTCTTGCTTCTAAATGGTAATTCAAGGACAGGACCCAGTTCTTTCCAATTGGTGATTCTGTCATCTTCAACTTGCAGCTTATGGGGGACATTCTAGGCATTGGCATTTTGCTGATAGATGGGAGAGAACATGGAGGATCTGGGGGATTTGGTTATGAGTTGGACCTAGAAATGATGCTCAGATACTCTGCTCCCATTCTATCCAATGGAATTTAGCTGCATGTCCACACCTAACCAGGAGGCAGGCGTGAAAGGCAATCTGGGGGGTGTAGCTCAGTGGCAGGGCACTTGACCAGCAGGTGCAAGGGCCTGGGTTCAATCTCCAGCATTGGAGGGGAAAAAACACAAACCCCTCAACTGGTCGAGCTGTTTTGCCAGAAAAGAGCAGAAACTGGTTTCAATGTCTGGTGGCAGAACCAAGATAAGGAATTTGGGTTGGGGGGGGGGGTGCTGAAGAGATGGGCAGGGTGCTCCATTTATTTATTTTAAGATTTTATTTTTATTTATTTATTTTCTTTTTTGACTAATAAAATATGTATTTATGGCATACAACATGCTTTGATATATACATGCACTGGGAAATGGTTAAATCATGTTAATCAACGTATTCATTGCCTCACATAGTTATTTTAAAAAACATTTTTGTGGTAGATGGACAGAATGTTTTTATTTTATTTATTTGTATGCGGTGCTAAGGATCAAACCCAGTGCCTCACACATGCTAGGTAAGTGCCCTACCACTGAGCTATAGGCCCAGCCCAGTTATCATTTTTTGTTGTGAGACAAAAATTTTTTTAAAATTTCTTGTTTAATGCCAGTATCATCATGTCCCATGTTTACAGTAAATGTCTTCCTATTGAAGGTCTCTACTCAGATATATTATTATTACTTACGGTTGTTGTTGTTCAGTGGTGCTAGGAATCAAACTCAGGGTCTTGCACATATGAGGCAAGTGTTCTACCACTGAGCTATACCCCAACCCTCAAGGTATAATGTTAGGCTCAAAAAAAAAAGCAAGGTAGAGCACAAAGCAGAGTATGCTACTTTGTGTATGAAAATGAAAGCAATAATACTATTTGCATTTGTTTTCATATATGATGAAACACTGGAAAAGTGAAAGAAACCACAGAGACCCGGATAAAGGCAGAGGGAGGATGGAGACATCAGTGGGAATGAGAGTTTATGTATTCCTTTAAATACTCATTTATTACTTATTTATAAAAATATATAATTTAAAAAACCAATTTTATTCTATTGCAGGAAAATGTTTCACTGACTGACCTCTTTTTGCGTTCAAATGAAGAAAAGTCAACAATAAAATTTCTTGGGAATGTAAGCAGGACATAACTTTTGAGCCTGAGGTATAAATAATGATGAATTCTGTGTCTTTCTTGTTATACTATACCCGACGAATTAGAGTTTTTGAAATAAAATAAAAGAATATTAATGCAACAGCTTGGTTTTATGTGAAATCATCTAAAAGTCTAGAATGCTTTCATATTCAACATCTTTGTTTATTTTCATAACATTCCTGAGTTAGTCAGTTTTCTGTTACTATAATAAAATACTTGAGATAATTAATTTATGAAGAGAAAGGGTTTATTTGGACTCACAGTTTTGGAGATTCTGGTCCATGATTGGCTAGCCCTTTGTCTTTGGGTCTCTGGCAAAGCTGCATAACATGGTGGAGAAGGAGCTGGGGTCCCACAGTTTCCTTTGAGGGTCCACCTCCAATAACCTAAGAACCTCTCACTAGGCCCTACCTCTCAGAGATTCTACCACTTCCAGATGATATCACTCTGGGGACCAAGCCTTTAATACATAGATTTTTATTTTTTGCTACATTATAGCAATTTATAATAACTATTAATGTTCAAATTAATATCTTGTTTTGTAGGATTCTGTTAGAACCAAGAGTAGGAGTTCAATTGTCTACAAATTCATGTTAGAATTATAGGCCAATACTTTTTAATTCTGAGTAGACTGATCATTGGAAGTATGTGATAAATATCTTTTATGTTTCACAACATTTTGAACCCAGGGGCATTCAACCAATGAGCTACATCCTCAACCCTTTTTATTTTTTTATTTTGAGACAAGGTCTCTCTAGGTTGCTTAGGACCTTGCTAAGTTGCTGAGGCTGGCTTTGAACTTGCAATCCTTCTGCCTCAGCCTCCTGAGCTGCTGGCAATATAGGCATGTGCCCCCACACCCTACAGCCAGGTGAATTAATTGCAACTGGTATGACCTTAAATTTAGAGATGCAAAAACAATGGTGGCCACTATCAATAAAGTAAAAAACCTTATGAAGCTTGCAACTGTGGCTCAGTGGTGGAGCACTTGCTTAGCACGTGTGAGGCCCTGGGTTCTATCTTCAGCACCACATGGAAAGGTAAATAAATAAATTACAAAAAAGAGGCTGGGGATATGGCTCAGTGGTTGAATGACCCTGAGTTCAATTTCTAGTACCCAAAAGGGGGAAAAAAAATACACACACACACACACATACATACATACACATACATATCAGGGCTGAGGTTGTGGCTCAGCGGTAGAGCACTTGCCTAACACATGTGAGGCACTGGGTTCAATCCTCAGCACCAGATAAAATATATAAATAAATAATAAATAAATAAATATTATATATATATATATATAATATATATATAGTTACGTCCATATACAACTAAAAATTTTTTTTAAAAAATATATTTTAAAAAATCAAATGAAGGGCTGTGGTTGTGGCTCAGTGGCAAAGTGCTTGCCTCACACATGTGAGTCACTGGGTTTGATCCTCAGCACCACATAAAAATAAATAAACAAAATAAAGTTATTTTTAAAAAATAATGAAAAGATGGGGGGAAGCAGAACTCTCAATATGTAAAGCACTATTACAAATCACCATTGCCATTTTTGTTGTTGTTGTTGTTGTAGTTGGACACACACCTTTATTTTATTTATTTATTTTTACGTGGTGCTGAGGATTGAACCCAGTGCCTCACACGTGCTAGGCCAGTGCTCTACCACTGAGCTATATCCCCAGCCTGACCAAATTTTTTTTTTTTTGGGTGGTGGTGCTGGGGATTGAACCCAGGACCTGTGCATGGAGGCAAGCCCTCTACCAACTGAGCTATGTCCCCAGCCCCTGGCCAATTTTTTAATAGAAATGTTTTCAATAAAAAAAATGGCAACAGACATAAATGAAATTTATAGGAAAAGATCTAAGTAACAATCAAATTTATAAACTTTAGAATTATTTGTTTCTTCTCAAAAAATGAAGAGATATAGTAGACAGTAACTGGTATCAACAACAATTGGTGGCAATAGGAATATTAGTATTTTTTCTGGTAGAAATATTAGTTACCAAAACCTTTCCACAGGTAAATTTGAGAACATAGTATAAAGTTAAACATGTTTACATACTATAACCTGTAACTTCACTCTACTGATTTATCCTAATAAAATATTAAGAGGGGGGCTGGGGTTGTGGCTTAGGGGTAGAGCGCTCGTCTAGCACCTGTGGGGCCCTAGGTTCGATCCTCAGAACCACATAAAAATAAACAAATAAAATAAAAGTTAAGAGGAAAAAAAATCCTTAAAATACAAGGAAAAAAATATTCAGGGGAACATAACAATTTATGACAAATGATATTAATACCAGCATCCTTATGAGATAAGCAGAAGATGGATCAGGTGACATACAGAAATGGGATACAGAGTCGCCATTAAGAATTTATGTTAGCTGGGCACAGTGGGGGCACGCCTGTAATCCCAGCAGCTTGGGAGGCTTGAGACAGGAGGACTGTGAGTTCAAAGCCAGCCTCAGCAATTTAGTGAGGCCCTAAGCAACTCAGTGAGACCCTGTCTCTAAATAAAATACAAAAAAGGGCTGGGGATGTGATTCAGTGTTTAAAAGCCCCCGAGTTCAATCCCTGGTACAAAACAAAACAAAATAAAACAAAAAAAAAAAAACTTATGTTACAGAACCAGCTAAAAACTAAAGGAAAATCTGACTACCCAATGTTCAGTGAAAAGGCATGATTTTTTAAAAATACAGTGAATTCTGTTAGTACATAAACTAAGACACATTGGTCCTTCAGAGCTTTAAAACTAGGCAGAGTTCTCTCCTTCTTGCTGATATCCACTCTCCTGGGCTACTTTATTCAAACTAGACTAGTTCATACAGACATTGAAAATCAGAAAAAGCAGCACTTGGTGAGTTTTGCCAAATGTCAAAGAATTCCGCCGGATGCGGTGGTGCTCGCCTATAATCCCAACAGTTTGGGAGGCTGAGGCAGGAGGATAGCAGGTTCAAAGCCAGCCTGGGCAACCTAGTGAGACCCTGTCTCAATATAAAAAGTAAAAAGGAATGGTGGCGTAGCTCAGTGATAAAGTGCTTACTTAATGCGTGTGAGGCCTGGGTTCAACCCCCAGCACTGCAAAAGGAGAAAGCAAAACAAAACAAAAAACTCCTTAGCAACTCCAATGAGGGAATTTAATTTTGTGTAGAGGGAATTTAATTTTGTGTAATCTAACAGGTCTTTTTTTGTTGCTGTTGTTCTTTTTAGTTATAGATGACAGTAGAATCTATTTTGATACGTTTATATACGAGGAATATATTTTATCCTATTTAGGATCCCAGTCTTGTAGATGTACACAATGTTGAGATTCACTGTGCTGTATTCATAAATGTACATAGAAAAGTTATGTCAGATTCATTTCACTGTTTTTTCCTATTCCTATTTCTGGCCTTCCCTTCATTCCCCTTTGTCTAATCCACTGAACTTCTATCATCCCCCCACCCTTATTGTGAGTTAACATCCACATATCAGAGAAAACATTTGACCTTTGGTTTTTTGGAATTGCCTTATTTCACTTAGCATGATTGTCTCCAGTTACATTCATTTACCAGCAAATGTCATAAAAGTCATTCTTCTTTATGGATGAGTAATAGTCCATTGTGTACATATACCATAATTTTTTATCCAATCATCTGTTGATGGTCATCTGGGTTGGTTTCATAGCTTAGCTATTGTGGAACAATCCCTGGCATTCAGCAAAGATTTCAGAATGAGTATTTGCAGTATACCTGGATTTTAAATGCTTGCATATAATTTTAGCCCTTATCTGAATAATTATTTGGATCATAGGCATTCAATGTTGTTGACAATTCTCTAATCACACATACAAACTAGTTTCTATATCTTGGATGACGTTTCCTCATCTCTTGCAAACTGATGTTCAATGTTGCATGACCTAGACAAAGTTTTTCACATACTTTGAGTCTCTCTTTGATTTTCAGGATCACTCCTGTGGGTTGGGGGTGTAGCTCCGTGGTAGAGCGCTTGCCTAGCATGTAAGAGGCACTGATTTGATCCCTAACATTGCAAAGAACACAGAAAGAATAACTCCTGCTCATTTGTACCCACGTGTAGCCTCAGGGTACACATTCGTGCCACATTCATGTTGATCTCTTTATTATCATCATAATCATAAGCCTCTTCCCGATAGCATATGCAACATTCTCATTGCTTTTGCAATGATCAGGCCTATTGGGCTTTATTAATGTTATGAAACACCTAGCACTGAGTACAGCAAACCTGCTGGTAGCAGAAAACTAGTTAGCGGAGACTAAAACCACCATGACCAACCACTGTTGTCACTGGTTGGGAGCAGGTGAAGAGGAACTACTTCTGCTTTTAGAGCTAAGTATTTTTCATCTCCACAAAAGTTCACAGGTTGACAAGCTGCCAAAGAACCTGTGCCTTTCCCAGGCATGGTACCACTCTAGTGAAGTGCACTAGAGACAATAACCATCAAATTACATAGAAATAGGTAATCAACCAAAATAATTTTTAGGTAGCTGATTTGATTCACATTGACTGAATTAGACTGAGACCATGGGTTTGATTTTTGGGGGGTTATTTAGCACATAGAGAAAACCCAGGTATTCTCTACCTATATCTTGCCATCTTGCAAATACATGCTCTCCAGAAGGCCTATCTACAGTGTGTAGAGGATGATCATATTATTTCTTTTATTTTTTTCTTTTTCTTATTTGGTGCCTGGGATTGTAACTAGGGTCTGTAAGACTAGAAAAACGCCGCACCACATGACACAGATTACCAAAGAGTTTTCCCACTTTATTACAAAAGGCTGTGTGTTTATATAGGTCTAAGGAGAGGTCGCAGGGCTGAGGTAGATAACAGGTCGCCCGTTTATTGGCAAGCTCTTCCATATGTCAGTTCCGGAGCCCAAGAAGTTAATTCTAATTGGGGCTAAGGCTTCCCACCAGCAGGGTTTGAACATTGGCTCCAGGGGGAAGTTTTCGAGCCAGTGAAAGAAACAAAGAGGAGAAGGAGGGTCGTTAGACGCCATGCTGGGGTTTTTCTCTGGGATGCGGCTGCCTTTATGTTTTCCCAACAGGGTCGCTTAACCGTAAAACCACACCC